ATAATCAGTTTTGTTTATACAATGAAATATTTGTGGGCTAATGAAGTCAATTAATGTCTACTAGTGATAACAAATTCCAAAGCTTATAACAATGGTATTAAAATTACTATGTACATGTATATCTTACCCATTGAAGGAACAATATAATCAAACTGAATACCAATATCTTTGACTGGCTCTCTCTCCTTTAATTCCTTCTCATTATCTTCTACACAAAATACAAATGTATTTACTAATAATTAATGTACTGATACTCTTACCAGCAGTTGTGGTGTCTTTCATTGACTGCAACTCTTCCTTTAGTTGTAATTTCTCTTTTGTCAGTTTAGCAATTACCATATCATCATCAACAACTTTAGCTTTAAGTTTCTCATTCTCTTCTAATGAAAACTATACACTATATGGAGCAATACTGATAGTATTACCAGTTGAATTCTCATTCTTTTCCTCTAATTCTGATTTCTCTTTAGTCAGCATCGTTATATTAGCTTTAAGTTTCTCAATCTCTTCTACATAAAATTCAATGTATTATCTCATCATTAGATATACAGTAATGTACTCATGGTATAACCTCACCAGTAGTGTTCTTCCATTCTTGTATTGAACTCTTCACTTTAGAATCATCAACACTAGCAGGAGGAGGAGGAGTCTTAGTGTAAGTATCATCAGTAACATCACCTAACCAATACACATATACACTATTAACAACAATTAACAATCATGTCATAATGTGTCATTACTAATTAAATGTGTCAGATATATCACCTCTTAATGTAAAGTTTATTCACAAATCACAAAATAATAAACACACACACACACAGAGTAGAGGACTATACCTTGCTGACTAGCCTCAAGGAGTGCTTCCTGCAGTGAGGTTTTATTTACTTCAAATACTCTTAACTCGTGTTGCAGTACTTGTATGTACTGCTGCTGTTGTACTTCCTTTTCTGTTGGATAGACTATAGAACAACGATCTTGCCACCATTGTCTTGTTTTAAGGAATGATTGATATTTGTGTTGATATGCCTCTCTAGTAAGATCAGTAGAATCTAATATTTCACTTACTGTCCATTGACCTTTAGTGAGAACTGAGAGAGAGAGAGAGAGAGAGAGAGAGAGAGAGAGAGAGAGAGAGAAGTGGATAAAGGTCAGAAGAAGGAAAGGTGGAAAGCAAGGAAGAAGAGGTGATCACAATACAGTAATGAATAAATAAAATAAGCAGAAGGTAGGCAAAAGAAATAGACAGAGAGTAAAGACTAATCACATTATTAATACTAGAAGAATGTAAACTTAATGGGATTCCACCCCTAGCCACACCCAGATCTACTGTACATGTACAAACAGAACTACTCCATTAGTACAGGCTCACCCAATAATACAGTATAATACAGTATAAGTGAGTATACTGTATGGACGTAGCTCCAAATTTTCGTGAGTCAAAAATTTCTTCAAAACCTTAATTTCTTGTTAAAAATTGATATAAATTTTTGTCGATAAAATTTATTATCAATCCACATACCAACCACATGGAGCAAATTCCATTGGTTAAAAATTTTGTCAAGCAAAAATTCTTGACAAATTTGATGAAATTTTTGACTGACAAAAATTTGGAGACATACAGTATCACTTAATACAATAAGTTAGTATATGAACAGTACTGGTGTATATTCATGATAGTTCAGTTCTTACCTAGTTCTATTAACATTGTGATATTAGGATCAGTGATAAATGTACCAAATGATTTCTTTACTCCTCTTCCTACATCTTTCCATTCAGCTGCTCCAGCTCCACCCACTACCACCAACCACACACAGTCTGGACTCATCATTATTGATGATAAGGAATGAGAACGTCTATCAGTAACAGATTCAGGTAGAACAATCTGTTGATATGATATAACATAACAATACAATGACTAGTAATAAGTGATATAACATGTTACTATACACTGATACTCACATACTGACATTACATACCTTACCCCACTGGTACTGACTGGTATCAAGTAACCAACTATCATTAACTGGTTGATTCTGTTGACCCAGTCCACCTATCATTACTAGTGTAGGTGAGTCACTGATGATACTAGTAATAGCATGAGATTGTCTCCCCACAGGCCACTGTACACTAGCAGGTACTACTGGTCCCTTAACACTCTCCCAGTGCTAGATAAAGACATTAACAATAAAACATTATTAATATCATTATTTATTATTAATTACATGTATCTTAATGACCAACACATAAGGGTATTAAGTTGACAATTAATTAAAGCAGAAGACGAAAGAATTAAATGACTACTAAGCAACTCAATAACTGACGGAGTAATATGGCTATACTGCTGCAGCTAATATTTTTAATGACCTGGGGGCGAAGCCCCCAGGTCGTTCCTATAATTGAATTCACCCTCGCGCTATGTATTATATATATTTATTTGTATGTCCACACTTACATTTCTTCTATACACGTTGTATTGGAGAAATAACAAGCCTTAGCAACCACCCGCCCACGCTTCTTTACGTGAGTGGGTGTGGTCAAGGCAAACAAAATGGCGGCTTACATATGGGACAAAGCTAAGAGCTTTCTAGCAGCAAGAGAGCATAGAGATACTGTCTAAAGACATCTCTAGAAGCATTATAAGGTAGAGAGAACCTCTATAAGTCTTAGTAATGACCAAGTTGTACTTGCAAGGTGGTGAAATCAATTATAGGAATATTTTTTACCCTGTTACGCTTGTTTGATAAATAGTATTTCAATGATCCAAAAGACTCCAAAATATGTTGAAATTAATTACTAATAGCTTACTATTGTAGTATCAGATTCAAGTTGACATGTATAGACATTATTAACACGTATAGTATACCCTTCATCATTATTCACTGATCCACCAAACAAGACAGATTTATTATTACTGATCTTTGTAAGAGTAAAGCCAGCAGTAGGAGGACAACACTGTCCACTAATAGTTGGAATAATCCACTCTCCTAAAAGAGAAACATTATCATATTGTAGCATAGACTAGTAGAAATAGAGAAACACATTAAAATACTTTATATTACACAAGTAGTTAATGGAATGTATTATGATTTAGAGCTGGATCTTACTTGTTGATAAATTCAATAAATTATGTTCATTAGTACGAACACGGCCATTAACCAACTGATCATATTGATACTGTGATTGGTATGTAGTGGGTGTAGAGCCCTTTCCTCCTATTACTAGGAGGTATTCTGTACCCATAGACTCCATACACACCATACCACCATACCCTCTCTTCATTACAATATCGCTACTTGATATTAACTTATTCCATTCATAAGTTAAAGTATTAAATAAGTTGACATCATTATGATAGCAGTCGTCATGTCCACAGTAGCCGCTCATATAAAAGATGTCATTATTTCTGACGGTACAGAAGTATCCCATAGGTCCTAGAGGAGGTGAGGTTCCTCTGGTCACGTGAGAGGACCAACGACCAGTCCTAAAGTCCAGTCTGTCAATGGTGGAGTGAAACTTCATCTTTTGAGGAGATTCATGTACTCTAGGTAAGCCAGGCCTGTGCCCTCCCCATACAAACAGAGATTCTCCTACTACAGGAGCTGATGCTCAGCTATCTCACCAATA